CACGTGACAAGGGGGGAGGTGCGCTGAAAGCTGCGAGGACAGGGTTATTGGACGTGAATCAACACGATTCACTACAGGTTAAGCACCAATTACACGAGCCCAGTTGGTTACCAATTATGTTGACGAACAACACACGACCTTGATTTATGGTGGGCTTTGGGGTGTGGGATGGAATAACTTCCTGATTACGCTTTTGTAGTGGGAAACACTCAGAAGAGTGACGACCTTACCGAAATGTTAATTAGAGGAAATAGCCTAAAATCAATCAATGGGTGAGTCAGACCCGCAGGATGAACTTCCAGACAGGCAGATAAAACAGCTGAATCATTCACTTACGGCGCGTTCGACAGGATATTCAAGCATATTATTTTGTCCACGAATTGGGATGAATACTTTGTAAATGACGAAACAAGAGATTGCGATTGTTCCAGCAACGCTCCCAAATACCATCAATTTAATTATGATGCAGAAATGAACATTTTGAAGTTCCAAGATGCAAAAAAAGTTTAACTAGCATCAAGACAAGTCTGTATTGAAAAGGGCCGTTTGAAATGAGCAACTCAATAACCATCCATGTACATAGATAAGGCGATTTTTGAGTATGACTAGCTTCAAACGAAATAAATCATTTTAAAGGGAGCTTTAAACGTTTGCAGTTAGCGCCTGAAGCACAGTTTGGGTGCATTGACGAGACTCAGGTATGGTTACGGAAGCAGTGATTGTCAGTCAGGTTTAATGGCTGTCGCCGTGGCAACAAAGGTGTGCCGAAGACAAGTAGGAACTCACCCCGAGAGCTGAAGGACACGGGAGCCACCACGTGGGAGGAAGAAGGAAATGAGACGATCTGGTATGGCGCCGCCAGATGCCAATCCACCCGAGGGGTCCTCACTCTGGGGCGGCAAGTGGCGCATCGTCTGGCGCAGAGACATCTTGACCGGCTTTAAGAGGTTTATGTACACACGGATCGTTCCAACCAACTTGTTGGTTCCCTCCGCCTGCACGGAGAGATAAAAAAACCGTCAAGGGGAGCGAAACAAGCCGAAATGTTTTTCACTTCAACATCAACCATGAAGAACAAACATGCATGAACGTGAGGTAAACCGATGAGTACTTTTATCGATGAATACTACCCAACTCTACTAAAGTATACAATTGGGGAATAAATGTATCGTACGGCGTCGAAACCACGTTGTGAAAAAGTGAATATTCGGGCGATCAATCAAACAAACAGCAGTTCACGTAGACGCTGGGCGCATGCAGACAAGACGTCTGTAAGCATAAGGCCAAACTTGAACAGCTGTTTTGGGTACCCATGAGGTCCTAGACCACCTGATTTGGCTGCATCTGTGTTCAAGCACAGCTTAGGTAACTAATTATCCAATTACACTGAAATCCATGTAAGTGTAGGGAAATAAAAAAACAGTAATTGGAAAGAGTTGAGCCAAATTATTTGGTGAGGTGATTCCGCAGATCTGTTCAAAGGTGTTTACTGTACGAAGGCTGCACCATAACATCTAGAAGACGTACGTATACAGGCCATGCAAAAGTGAGGTGCTACCTTGAAGGAATTAAGTTGATAAGCCTTTGAGTAACAGGAGAAATCAGGGTTAGTCCTGTTGGTAAGTTATTCATTATAAAGTCTACATGCAGACACCACTCCGCACGACGCAATAGCTGGTTTTTTGTAGCGACCGTCACAGCACATTCCAAAAATACAGTCATAACGGAACTCAATGACATAGACGATAGAAGAGGGAGTTCCGACTACCCTGACGTGTTTAGAGCTTGCGCTCCGGGCTTCTGGAGGTCATTGTGGCAAGGTGATTCTTTCAACGCTTTTACAGGCTATCGATGTTACAGTACTATGGAACCTCTGATTTTAGCAACCCAAGACAAACGCAACTGATTTTGATTAGATGATTACCCATTTGACGAAATTTCGTGCATGGTGGAATTTTAGGTTGAAAAAAAAGACAAAGAAATATTTTGAACTGCACGAGAATAGTGGATAACAGTAGGCAGTGGTAACGCGTTAGAATTCAACTAAGCCCTGGATGATGGAGTAACATTAATTCACAAGCATGAAAAGGTTGTTGATAGTTTTAATGTAATGACGCTGTGTGACAGCGTGGTTCTCTGTCCCATGAGACGAGTGAATGCTCGAAATATGCCTTGGGGTCATCCCCCGTTTAAATAGCCCAATATTCTCTGAGGGGATGTTGCATGGAAAGGCGTAGGTCCTGGCCTCACATCACGAGACTTCAATTTCAAAGTGCATTACAATTTCGACTGATTCGGACAACTGAGGAATACTCAAATACACTGTTTAGAAAGGTGTGAAGTCAGCTGACCCATGCAGTGTCCAGAGGTGTGGTAAAATCATTCATCATGGGCCGTACATAAATGGACAGGGTATGAGAGCCGATCCATCAAGTGCTAATGATGTTATCTGAAAACAGGGTACAAAAGGTTTTAAAGTGACTACTTTATTACATCGTAAGCTGAAAAAAACTAACAGGAAAACATACTTGTGTAAAACAACGTGAATACGAGACGAACTTCCAAAATTCAGAGCAAAAACATCCATTAAATCGTCGCAGTGTGAATAAACAGTCAAGCATTCCTTTTTGATTACATTTATTAAGCCAACAATCACTGATGCAGCTATGACTACAGCTTTAATCAAGGGCGCAGAAAACGATGAAAACAACCCCCTTTTCTAAATTGGGAGATTTGAATATAATCAAACAGTAAAGTGCTTGTTTTTCAATTCCTTGAGCCAATGGCGACTAGTAACATACATATTCAACAGGTCGAAACCTGTAAAAAGAACTGTGCTGCGCATTGAGCTGATGGCATTGACAAATCGCATGACATAAAAATGGCTAGGGATGGGTAGTGCAAATTGATGTTAAAAGTATAAGGATGTGGCAGAAATCCTTTCAGCTCAGAAAATAAGTTTAAGTCCAAGACTGCTGACTCACAGCATCCCATGACACTTGAAATCAGCTAGGGCACTGAGTGCTTGTCGTTGTCATTTAGAAACACAGGGCCTCGGGTTAGACGAGATTCCGCGTACTCGGAGGTCGCATCACACGATAAAAAACATAATGACCTGCCACCCTGCTTGTAACCAGCCATCCCGGTCCTACTTTTGCCCACACCTCATCGCAGCAGAGCAGCATTATTAGAATGGGATCGCTGTCGAAGCAGAGTGATCCACCACCGACTTTGACAGAGCAAAGCGATTGACGACAGCGCGGTCGCTTTAAGTCACAAGCGGAACACCAAAACGGTTTGGGTGGAAACTGGCACCAGGCACCACAACGTGGCTGGAACGCTCTAATACATCCACAAATGGCCCAGGCCTCATAGCCTTTGACAACTTCTGACCAAATGCTTTGCAGATCGCACTTAAAGGTGCGAGTTCACAAGAATCGGAGTCTTGCAAAAACCACTTGTGTCAAACTGTCGTCGGTAGGCTCCAAACACACGGAAGCGAATAAAACCAACCACCAGAACGATGGAATCAGGCCATTCGTTAAAACGCGGCCAATGCACTTTTCCGCAGATAAAGACAATCACCTTTGTGGCTATTGGAGGGAACCGGACTGAGAGTATACTAGCTGGTAAATTGTCAGAGGGAGCTATACCACATAGGATACACATATAAACATACCAGAATAGATGTAAATAATTTTTTAAACTTTAATTACGAATGTAGGAAGAAGAGGGGATACGCTTTACGTAGCCGGAGATCTCTTCGAGGCCACGTGAAATGACTAATCGTTGCTGACGCGAATGATATTTGTAAGACACCTGCAACAGCAGCGGGGGACTGACTTCATGGGCTTGTTTTGGCTTTATAAGAACTGTGCGGTTGACAAGATCTAGCAAGATCTCTAACCTAAGGCCCAAAATCTGTGGGAATTGTGACACCCAGAGAAACGTGTTCGTAGGGCAAGTTAACATACAACCTTGAACACCTTCAAACAGGCAGTACATTGGCACAAAAGCCGAAGAGCAATACTTAAGAGACAATCGTTCACGTTCCCTCAATTCGTGAAATTATCAACGGTAGATGGATAAGGATCGTATGCAGAATTGTGTTGGCGAGGTTGCCTGTCTAATGCGGTAACACAAAATGAATGTCATATGTTATGGCTCCAATTTGAGTGAACAGGGAGACCTAACAAATCAGGTCAAGTGTCTGGGTTTGAATTTATGCTTCTGTGGGGCCAACCGTTCCGCTTGAATACTCGATTTCAAGGTAAGAGACAAATGGCTCTAAGTAAAAGCAATCTTGAAATATTTAGAAATTTAGTTCTCTGGAAAGTAGATAGCCTTCTTGATAATCACGGTTTTGATAAACTTAAACTATTGTTAACAGGCTCAGTAGATGTAGCGGAGCAAATAAAATTAAAGAAACTTGAGACTAGACTGATGCAAGCTAGCTACTGCTACTCGTTCAACCACACAGCCAATCTTAAAGGAAAGATGTGATTAATGACTTTTGTAGTGTGCAAAAACTTTTATTAAACAGGTTCTGAGTCGGCTTGAAGCCTCAATATATGATTTTAGATTTGTAACACATAAAATAAACCCTTTCAAGTCGGGACCTCCCAAACAATTAAAGACTTTGGCTATACCAAAAACCGAATTAAGAGTTTTCTTAATAATGGCCAAGTTAGTGATGGTTATCATCATAAAACAAAGCTCAACAATGGAACAAATAACCCCTCTCCGAATACTTAAACGAAAGCCCACATTCACAAGCTGAGAAAAACGTTGATTGACTACTTCGAAAATGTGGGAGGGAAAGTGGCAGCGCTAGCGCCAAACAGGGCAACAAAGCAGGGACATCGTTGAGCTCAAAGACCTTTTTGCAAAAGAGGCACCCAGAGGAGGAACAGGGAGCGTGATCATCGAAAAGCCTCTCCGAATGGCCCCAAAAAACCTGAACCTGTAGTGTTTTTTTGATTTGTCACACATTTTTGCACGAATGGTAAGGCGGGTTTTGACAGAACAAAGGGTGCCAGGAAGACGCCACACATTTGGGAGTTGAACTTTCGAACTCCGATTTATTTTGGAAATTCATTTCACCTACACCTGGCTGGCACCTTCTTAGAATGAAACATTAAGCAAGTGGAAAAACGATACTTAAGAATTTTCAAAAAAAAACAACTTGACGTTCATCAGCAAGAAAATGAAGAAAGCTTGGTTGGCACTATACATAGAAAATAATGGTGCAGAAAAGCACTTTTATTACGAAAGAAATATGGTGAGCATTGGAAAAGCGACATGTCATAAATCAGAATGAGAATGCAATTCATTGCAGCCAGACTCACCAAATCCATCCTCAATCCAATTGAATTCGTATTGAAAACATTGACGATTTTCGTAATTTCTTGGCGTGTCAGTGCTGCCAATGATTCGATCTGTCTCTGAGCATAGCATGGGTGCGAAGAATTAACATATTTCACACTGAGTCGCATCCAGGCAATAAAGTCCGAATCCAGTGTGCTAAAGGCGTATGTGCTCTCCTCCTCCTCCTCTTCGCTGTTTTCCTCGAAAGACGGGCTGTCCTCTGTGGCTGCACTGCTTAGTGACGCCGAACACCGACACATTGTCGCCAGCGCGCGGCAGTAGGGGCACACGAAGAGCTGACGAACAGCGCTCTTCGAGCTTGCGGTGTTATTCCAGGGCGGAGGCGGAGGGAGCAGACTGAGGCTGTTTACTGAAGAACTGGGGAAGCTGTCGTCAGGCCTCACCGTGGCCAGAGTTAGGGGATCTTCTTTAATCGCAGACGACTGGGTTGATGGAGGGGTCTCGGGTCGGGCGGGCCTGACGGTGGAGAGGGTTGAGGCAAAGGAATCCGCCGAGGATGAGGCACAACTGTTGGTGTTTGAGAGGAGGCCCTTGTTGGGCTCATCGGCGTTTGGTGTGGAGGCCTCGGGCGTGGCGTTGGGGTCGGCTCTGACAGCTGCGGAGGCGGCGTCTTGACGAGCACCAGCCTGACGACAGCGCGGAGGCACTCGACTGGCTGCTCCAGGGGGCAGTGGTGGACTGTGCATGCGCACCGGAGCGCAGTGTGGAGATCCTGACCGAGCAGCATGAACTGCAGGCTGGGAAGAACGAACAGGCCCCAATCACAATTATATTCGATCAAAAGTCGTGTAGTTTCTATGCCTAGGTTTTGTTCCCATGACGCACTACTACACTTTAAAAGACCGCTAACATGATCCAAGTGACTTTAAAGACCACTTTTTTAACCAATGCTGTAGCGAAAAACAGAGCGGAATAAATTTGAGGTTGAATGCTTTTTTTAAATGCTAAAGGGATGAAATTGATTTCGAGGATACGTAGCACAGGAGTACGTTTTGATAGACAAGGGTTACAGCATCGATTTAAGGGGCACGACAATTCAAGCAGGTGGGCTTGTCAACTTTGCGTTTTCCATTTTCAGTTTGAATGTAACCTCAAATCTTTCGGGGCAAACTCCCATAAATTTGAACACAAAGAAATTGATTCCAATTCAGTCTTAAATGGCCTCGCCAGATGCTACTTTCTTAAGCCGATAGACATACTCCTCGGAAAAACAAAATGTGGCCAGGAAGTAATTTTAAATGCAGAATACTTAACTAAAAAATAATACTAAACCAGCTGCAACAACGTCGACTCACAGAAAGGTTACGGCTCTTCAGGTTTGGTGAGAAACTTGATTGATCTGTTGAAGGCGAGAATTGAAGAGCACCTAGGCGAGAATGCACATAAGAGGAACGTAGGAACCTTAAGGAGCTCTCATCAATTCCAAAATGGTGCAATTTCGGAAACTTCCATGAATTATTAAAAACCTAGGTGTCAAGCACAATATCTTGTCAGAGTCTAGAAGCGTAATTAGATGAAATATAAACTAAATCTAGTCAATCGCAACCACATTTTCACAAGACTAGCGCCACATTAGGATATTAGATCACGATAATTGCCTAAGGCCTCTGCAGTTAGACAGTGCTAAAAAATCAAAAATCAAAACTTGTCCTCGCATCGTTAAAAGTACATTATGAACTTTTAAGTCTGATTTTAAGCAGTCATTTTGTGGGTAACTGCTGTCGCCAAAGTTAACACACAATGAATGCGTGCAGCAATATTGTTGAGTCCATCATGATACTGTCGAGTCAATACGCCAGGTCATGCAACTCAAGCCACATTTACTGCACCAGGCGTGTAACACAAAATCTACAGAGAAAAAAATATCACTTCAGACAGCTCCGATATCCTAAGTGTCGTGGCTCGATTACTTGCCCGAATTAAAGCTATTGTATCAAAAGAGGGACATGGAGTGGAGCCAAACAACAAAGGGAAGTCAAAGCGCCATCGACAAGCGTGAGATTCGTTTTGCTGTCCAGAGGGGACAGTATACTTAGAGTAGGACTACATGTTTGAGCGGAATTCACACGTTTAAAATCACCTTTCCACTTGGAAAACCAGTCCACGTTGATTAACTCAAAATTGTTCTTGGTGAGTCGTCACGCGTTAAGTGTAGCATCACAACATCAAAAGCTTGTCGAGTGCTATCTACTAAAATTTTATTCGTACACCTTCAAATAACGCGCACACACAGTAACGAGAACACGGTTGACATGTGTTGCCAGACGAAACAGTCGATCGAATTTGTAGAGCACGCAGGTACCCCAAGAAGGACTACTTGAGAACATGAGGCATTCCTGAATTCCTCGCATTAACGTTAATTCAAAAAAGTTAGCAACCCTATACGTCGAAATTGCAAAGAAACAAATAAATTTTATAAAAAATGCCGCTCGGCTTAATTTTAAATATGCAAACTTCATTACAAACTATAAGGGTGAGAGACTACTAGCCAAGTATTTGAATTTGAGGCAAATGGAAAACGAAAAACGCCAATTGGAGATAAGCACATTATTGGTGAAGTGATCCTCAGCACATTCGGTGGAGAACCGTAAGCAGAACCGTCTTTACTTATTTCCTACCAGACTAAGCACCTTATTTGGCATGGGAAATTCAGTACTTTTATTTTCCTTTACTTGAGGTACCCATATTATATTGATTGAGTTAAATAAACTCAAAACAACTTTACCTAGAACAATATTTTTACCATCATTTCGACCTTGGGAAATTAATCTGACTCTACGCTGACCTGGATAAGTAGTAAGAAAAGTTGCAGACGTGCTGCTACTTTAAAATCGCCAACAATCTGAAAAAAATGTTAAGGATCAAAGTGCTTGAGGGTCATAAGTTAAGCAGAAATTTCAATATCTTAAATCATAGTTTCAGTCGAGTTTTGTACATCTGGATTACACGAAAGCATTTGGCAATGATACAAGTCAGACCAAATTCAAGTTATTTACAGGCCGATGTAGCAAAGTTCAGTGGCTTTTCGGTGAAGTTTAAAGTGACCAAACAAACTTGACTCCTGTGGTGACATAAGTCAACCAAGAGGGATTAGCAACTCAGACGAAATGAGAACAATACAGTTAGATTAGAGTTAATGTGCACGCACAAAAAATCCCGAGCAGTAAGCCTTAATGAAACTGCCATTTACAGAGTCAGTGTTATTCGAAGCAGAATCTTTCGTAGTTTAAAGCCGACCTGGCGATTATTGAATAAGCGTTGTATAAACCTGGTAATGGAAATTGCTTCAAGGGGAGGGCTTAAACACAAGTTGTGCACCACGGTAATAAGACAAGTAATTAACTGACTATAAGTTGATGCATTTAAGCCTTGTGGTGAGTGAAGAAGGAATGTGGATACGTACTGGGTCGAAGACACGCAAGACGGTTGAAATTGCCGATCTTGGGAGGCCCTGCAGCAGGTGCTGCAGCGTGTGAGGCGTTGGAGGAAGAAGAGGAAGAACAGGCGGAAGACATGGTCGAGGAAGAATTTGTTGCCGAGGGGGACCCTGAAGAGTGATTTTCGTCCGGCGTCCGTGCTACACTGTTATCCAAGCAGCCCACATCCAAGCACCAAGAAAGCGGTCGCTGACCGCTTGAGATTTGTTGTGCGAAAATCTGCTCCTCGTACAACTTCAAGCTGTCAGTCATTACATGCGTGTTCGAACGGGAACTTGCCCTTGTACAGGGCAGTTGGATACGTGAGTAATGCCGCCCTGCTGCGGGTCGTGGTGTGAGCCTCTTTACCGCAACCATCTCCTTGGGGGTGGCAGGCGTGCTCTGATTGGATGAAGCTGATTCCAGCCCACCCCCTGTCATGATTATGTTAATAGCTGAACGCTCGAGGGAAGGTGAAGATGTAGATTCCAGCAATTTCGAGGGGAGTGCGGAGGATTGATGTTTAGTAGGGGTAGTGGGGCCTTTATTACTGGTTAACATGCCAGCACCACCATTGCGATGGGTAGCTGTGGGAGGTGCTGGAGGAAGCTTAGCGTTAGGACTGCTGGTTGAAAAGTTTTCAATGGAAGCGACGCTGCGAAGACGCGGAGACGGGTCTTCTGAACGTTCTGCTGTGGGAATGTGGCCGTAAAGATCACTTTGCTCAGAGAAGGCTGCCAAGGTTGTCTCAAAACTGGCGTGCCTTGCAAGGAATGAGCCCGATTCTGAGAAGTCGGAGAGCGGTTTACAGAAACCAGTCGATTCGCAACGACGAAGTGTCTTGAAGCTCTTTGAACGGGTTACGCACGCGTGCCCAGGTGTGTTAATGAGGAAAGTCGAACTGAAATTACCAGAAGACGGTCGGCCATTCAGCCACTGATTCCGATTTACATTACTGCCTACAGCAGCTGCGCGGAACGGAGCCGAACGTGGATGCACCGGTGGCAAGCATTCTGTAGCTGCCGCTCCAAGGTCGCGTGTAAACGTAGTTACTGGTACTGAGTCATTGCGTCGCGCATACACACCTAGGCCAATCGTCTGCCGCGTGGTTTCTAATTGGTCCTCACTGATTGGCGCGTATTGACTAGTTGTCGCGACTGAATGTCGACGTACGGCAACAGCGGCAGCTGCGTTGCCGCTCTCGACTGGTCTAAATGCTGTTTTTTCACTCAAATTCGTTCGCCTCACAGGAGGGGACTCCGAGCGACCACGAAGGGTGATTCTTACTTCCGCACGCATCGATGGCTTGATCGGGGGTAAAATTAATCAAGATGGGGTGGGGGGGGATCGGCAATCTGGCTTCCGAGTTTTCGAAATGTAGAATGAGCCCTTCTCGGTATCAATAAAGAGGCATCGAGTTAAGTTGCTGAGTCTAATGCCATAGTACACCGCACCTGCCAAGCATTGGAAGCCTGTGTGGCCACTGCGTGCCCTTATGCAGAGAGGGCCATTTCATCCTACGCGCCTAGCAAGTTGGCCTTTGTCGAATCGGATTGATTGTGATTGGAGGGAACCAATCAGAAACCTACAAACTTGCCGTGGTATTCTGGACGGATTACGCAGTGTTCAACTACTATTTATTTCTCCTAACGCACCGATACCATTGCAAGCGGTTGATTAAACTCACGAGGGATAGATTTTACTGAAATCAGTCAAAATGTTTCATAATCCAAAGTGTACCCATAAGGCTTTACTTTCTAGTGCGAGTATATCTCTCATTAGTGTCTATAAATCAGTAGCGCAGAAAATTGTCTGGAAATTTTTTTTGAGCATTGTGGCAGGTTTGGGAAAGGGATTTTAAACCATTGTGCGAAAATTCGCTGTTAGTATGATGTGATGTGGACCTACACCAATGATCAGGGGTCCCAGGACACAGATTTCGTCATATTAGGGCTATTTGGGTAAAGGGTTGTCCATAAAGATCTAATATTTAATCTAGATTAACTTATACATACCCAAGATATGGGCCAAAGTTTAAGGGTTCGGAATATTCCAGCGCAGAACTTTCCTGCGAATCAGAGATCCAAAATGATTAAGTACAATTGCAATTTAAGAAGGTGATCCATGCTGATTTTCGGCTAAAACATGCCCATGCATGGTTAAAGTTTTAAAGTATGTATCTCTAAGTCGGGTGTGGAGTCCTTACTAATGTTTTCAGCAGAATGGGCTGGAGTTTATTTGGATGAAGCTGGTGGTTATAATAGCAGAAAACATAATACGTCGACAATTAATTTTGTAATTTAAATTGGTAGAACCAGATACAGAAGAGAACTAGGTGAAACAATTGTTAAACTAGCTGGCTACTTTAAAATGTTTAATGCACACATTTTTGACCTGATTTTTCCTGATGCTGACAGAACTGATGGGGAAATGCGATTACAAAAGCAGAATTTTTCAGATGTTTAAAATATTTTAGGAGTACTTTTCAGTAGGCCCGTGTAAAACGAGTAAGCAGGCGGAATCCAATGGCAGACTTAATTCTGGAAATTTTACATTTATTGTGTTAATGAAAAGCACCTGTGCGTAGAAGCCGTAAGTTGTGGCGAGCTACGCCGTCGGCACCGAAACAACCTCGTGCAAAAGCTGACTAGGTGGACGATCGATGTTACCAGGGCGAGTTGAACTAGCAAGCATTTGTCGAGTGTTTCATTTTGCAGATGCTTCCGTAGTTTATTTACAACTTGAATCATTTGCATTTACTAACAATTTCGCATATTTGGGGTGAAAAGAAGCACTTTTATCTGAAAAAAAGGATTTCGAAACACATAGCAATAAACAAACAAACTAATTGTCTTTTTAACCTACCGTTAACAAACTAGACTGCTCATACTCACAGTGCTAATGGAATTATGGCTGATGACAAAGATCCGTACAAAAGACATTTAAAGGAATGGATATACAGGTTGAAATAGGCTTCGGATTTTCAACAGAGTAACGCTAGCACGTCTGCAATGCTTAGAGATAAAATGCAGCTTAAATCATCAACCGACTGGACAAGATGCTGTGTTGTACAATAGCACTTGCGATCGCAAAACTTATTCTCTAACTGGGAACACAAGTATTTAGATTAGAATTTTTTCCACTTTCGGAAAATACATTAGGCTACTGAAAAAAATAATCTCTGGCCGGGTTGCTGGACTAAACAGATTTCCCCAGTAGTAACTAAGCCTTGCTAGTCAAAGAATGGGTTGTTCAAGTTAAACAGTCGGTCGCCAATAAAAACACGCACCAGGTGCTTGCATGCGTTTTCACCGATGCGTTTTCAAGCCGCTCAAATCATCACAGTCCGCGGTTCTACATGGAGGTTCCAGGAAGAAAGTAAGTGGGGAGACGCGACCAGGGTGGATGTGAAGAGAGTTCGAAGTGGAAGACGTT